TTAAACGTCGACAAAATTGAGTTACTCGAGCATATAATTGATGGCATTCCAAACTACAATCTACAAAAGCATACAATTGAAACCAGATTATACACACAAGATGGATAACAAGCAGAATATCGAGCCTTCAGCCAACGCAAATAGTCGTCAAATGGTCGTCAAATGCTTCAACTGTAACTCCATAGCCCCTGAATGTCGCAAGCCCAAAAGAACACCTGGAGCGTGTTTCGTTTGCAACAAAATGGGCCATATTTCAATAAACTGGACTTGGAACTACGAGAAAATATGAAAACCAACAACCAGTATGTAAGACTTATAGAGTACTTATTTATTAACAATACTAATGACATCATGAAACACCCTTTAGAAACACTAATTGACACTGGAAGCCCTGTCAGCTTAATATGTGAGGAGAATGTACCCAAGAAACTTATTGAAGACTATTCTTTTGTTCAAAATTATTACGGAATAAATAAAAGTAAACTTATAATCATTGGAGTAATAAAATGTAAAATCAAATTTGAAGATTTAGAATATAATAAAGAACTCTTTGCAGTTCCCAATGAAACAATGCAATATTCAGCTATATTGGGAACTGATTTTCTAGAAAAAGAAGGATTTGTATTAGTAAAAGAAGACCAAATATTTAGAAGGGTAAGCATAGGAAATCAATCTAAATATGAAAAAAATGATAATTCAACGGAAGTAGCCGAAACGATAGAGCACAAAATAAATCAAAACAAAGCGAATAAATATATCGGTTTTTATGATAAACAAACAGAAAGGGCTATAGAAAAATGTGTAACAGAAGAAATACGATCTGCTCAAGAAAAGCTCACAGCAATAGAAGAATGTAATAATTTAATGGCTATTGATATAAATAGCGATGAAAATTACCCATTGATTAACAACACTAACATACATATAAACGACAAGACAAAATTACAACAAATATTTGTTCAACATTATTTAAAAAGTATCCGTCCTGAAAATCCAGCTACCAAATGTCAGTTAAAATTAAATCTAAACAATGTAAAGCCTTTTCACTTCAAACCTAGACGCTTATCATACAAAGAAAAAGAACAAGTGCAACAAATTATAGACGAGCTATTAGAAGAGAAAATTATAAGGCCAAGTCATTCTGAATATGCGTCACTGGTTGTACTAGTAAAAACAAGAGAGAACGCTACAGTCGAGCAAGCCCGACAGTGTAATACCCTGTACCCAGGTAAACTTCCGTCACTGAGTTATATGCGCCCATAGCAGCAGCATAAAGAGGAAGAAGAAGAGCGAACTTGTTGCTGCAGTTTGGGGGGGTTGTACTGGTGAGAATTTGTTTTGCTAATAACTTTTCTTAGAATTGACCGAATTTGATAAAATTTTAAAAAACAGTAGATAATTATATAGAAATTATGTGTGCAAAGTTTGGTTTAGGTAGCATTTGAAATGTGGACGCTATTGACGAAATTCTGTAGCGGGGGAAGGGGGGGGAAATTAAAAAAAAAAAAATAAACTCGTCCTTACTCGGACCTAGGAGAATCTGGATGCCAACTTTGGTTATTCTAGCTTTTATAGTTTCCGAGATCCTTGCGTTCATCCAGACGGACAGACGGACAGACGGACGGACATGTCTAGATCGATTTCTCTCGTCATGCTGATCAAGAATATATATACTTTATGGGGTCGGAGATGCTTCCTTCTGTATGTTACATACTTTGCACAAACCTAATATACCCTTTTTACCCTACGGGTACAGGGTATAAAAAGAGTGGAGACATTCGGTTATGTGTAGATTATAGGACGCTTAACAAAGTTACACCCAAAGATAATTACCCACTGCCACTAATCGAGGATCTTATTGATAAACTAGCAAACAAAGAAATTTTTACATTGTTAGACTTAAAGAGCGCATTCCACCAGATAGATGTTCATGAAGATTCAGTTAAGTACACATCCTTCGTGACTCCGTTAGGCCAGTTTGAATTCTCCAAAATGCCCTATGGCCTAAGAAATGCGTCAGCAAAATTCCAGCGATTTGTCAACTATGTATTCGATGATATGATTAGACTCGGAAAAGTTGTCATATACTTAGATGACATCATGATTGCGTCGAAATCAGTTGAAGAACATCTTAGTACGCTAACGGAAGTATTTAAAAAATTAACATTAAATAAATTAGAGTTGAGACTAGACAAATGTAAATTTATGGAAGATAAATGCGAATGTTTAGGCTATATAATCTCGAAAGAAGGAGTACAGCCAGATAAGAAAAATATTGAAGCCATAACTAATTTTCTAATTCCTAAAAACTCCAAAGAAATCCATAGCTTCCTAGGGCTCTGTTCCTATTTTAGAAAATTTATCAAAGAATTCTCTATACAGGCCAAACCACTGTATAACCTTATTAAAAAGAATTCGAAATTTCAATTCAATGAAGAAGAAATGCAGTGTTTTGAAAAATTAAGCAAAAATTAATCGACGCACCAATACTCTCTATATATGATCCTTCACATGAAACTGAGCTACATTGCGACGCCAGTTCAATCGGATTTGGGGCAATATTATTGCAAAAAAAACTTGATGGCAAAATGCATCCAATATTTTAGTTTTGAATTAGAAACGCTGGGTATAATTTACGCGTTACGAAGATTTAAGATTTATCTGCATGGAACAAAATTCAAAATAATAACAGATTGTAACTCATTATCGTTAACCTTAAGCAAAAAGGAAATTAATCAAAGAATTGCTCGTTGGGCCTTGGAGCTCGAAAACTATGACTACGAAATTGTCCATAGAGATGGACAGAAAATGAAGCACGATGATGCACTAAGTAGAATATCTAATATACTTGTATTGTATTGGAAGAGAATACGTTTGAACAAAATCTTTCCATTTGTTAAAACGAGGACACGGTTATATGCAACATACGCAAACAATTAGAAGAAAAAGAAAGCAATCTGTATGAAATGAGAAACGGACTAATTTACCGCAAATTCAAAGGCAGAATACTATTTTATGTACCTAATAATATGGAACGAAACATTTTAACACTTTATCATGACCAAATGGGACACAGAGGGTGTGAAAAAGTATACAATGCAATAACAAAGTCGTACTGGTTTCCCAGGTTAAATGAAAAAATCAAAGAACACATACGAAATTGTCTAAAATGCATAACATATTCACCGAAACTTGGTAAACGTGAAGGTTTACTATGCAGCATTCCTAAAGGTGATACACCATTTGAAATGCTGCATATTGATCATTTTGGGCCCATAAAATCACAAAAAGGACAAAAGAGACATGTACTACTAGCAGTGGATGCCTTTTCGAAGTTTGTTGAACTGTATGAAACAAAATCTACGGACTCTAAAAGTACAATTAAACATTTATCCGATTATTTCAAAGCATATAGCAGACCCAAGACTATAGTTTCTGACCGTGGAAGTGCATTCACTTCAAAGGATTTCGAAGAATTTTTATTGGCTAACAACGTAAAACACATAAAAGTAGCAACAGGTTCTCCACAAGCGAATGGACAAGTGGAACGTATAAATAGATGTTTAGGACCAATGTTGGCTAAATTAACAAGTGCAGGAACCACAAAATCATTAGATAATATACTTCCAGAAATAGAGTTTGCCTTAAACAACACTTTGCACAAAAGCACGGGAACCACCCCAAGTGAGTTATTATTCGGAGTAAGTCAAAGAGGAATTATCATAGACTTCTTAAAAGAACAGCTAGACGACAGAAAACATGATAGAAATCTTATTGAAAGTAGGTCCAAGGCTAGAGAAATTAGGGAAAAAAGTCAAAAGTACAATGAACTATATAAAAACAAACGTAGAATCCATAAAACATATAGAAAAGGAGACTACGTAGCTTTAAAAATTTTTGTGAGCATACCCGGAGCATGCAAAAAAATAATACCAAAATATAAAGGACCGTACAAAGTTAATGACATACTACCAAATAACAGATATGTTGTATCAGATGTCGAAGGATTTCAATTATCACAGGTGCCTTACAAAGGAATCTGGGAAGCAGCCAATATAAAACCATGGATGAATATGGAAAATCATACGTCAGAAAAAGTAAATGAAAAGTGAGATTCAGAGGAAGGAATTGAAAGTTATATGCCAGAAAAAGTAAGTGAAAAGCCAGATTCAGAGGAAGAAACAGAATATTGTATGTTATATAAAGCGAGTGAAAGATTAGACTTAAAGGAAGAAAAAGAAAAGACAATGTCAAGTAAGGGAAGAATAAAATCAGGAAATAGGAATACTAAACCAATATTAGAAAAGAAAGATAATGTAGCGCAAAATGTAGTAAAAGAAGTCGAAAATGGTGAACCAACAAAATCAATCAAAGGATCAATAGTAGATATAGGAAATCCTAAACCTGAGTCAGAATATGAATCTTACAATTCAGACGAAGAAAGTGAAAAGGCTAGTTTAAAAAACAGGTACAAAAAATCTAAAAAAATACGAGACACTAACGAAGCACTTGCAGAAACTCAGAAATATTGCTTAAGAAATCGACCTACGAAAAAAATATTAAATTCATTTAAACACATGTATACACATAAAGTTAAATAAACGACAGGGTGTGTGATATCATTATCTATTGAAAAGAACAAGCTGGCAACTCAAAATGATAAAGAAGGAGAGCTGCTTACAAAAAAAAAAAAACGGAAATTAATTAATAAACTTAAATAAAGTATAAGATAAGAAAAATCATAAAACCTAGAACCATAAAACCATAAACATAGAACCATAAGGGCAAAGCTTTTTATTCACCCTTACAATAATCAGAAGTGGTGCAGAATCAAATAAACAATCGCCTACTCAACGCTAAAACGCATTTATAAAAAGAATAGAAAGAAAATGATGAGTGACAAGGATTTTGACAAATACACCGCCGACGGCCTAAGACGGTTGTTAAAAACATATAACTGTCCAACGAATGGAAATAAATCTGAATTAATTCAGAGACTGATGGATGCCCAAAACGATGACGAAATATTGCGAAGTAAGCACAGTACTGGAGTCAACGTCAGCAAGGCAAACGCGAAGGAAGAAGTAAAAAAGCAAGAAAACGTAAGCGACAACAATGTAGTACAGCAAGTCGACGAAAGTCCCGACTACGACACAAAGCAAGATAATGAAACAAACAATGACAACATGTTTAGCGAACAAATTCTGAGTAATTACCATAGCCAAACACCGTTAAGCAAATACAATGATATGAGTGACATCGTCATAGTAAACGAAAAAGACACAAACGAAAATGATCAAAGCAACGATAGTAAGGCCAGGGATGACAAAGAAAATAAGTTTTCCAACACAGAAACACCGAAACGTATCTCGTTACGGAAACTACAACAAGCAAGAACAAAAATAATATTGGAAAAGCGAAATCTGAAAAAGAGGATTTAATGCTAAGGGAGATAGAGGTATTGAACCGAGATCTACAAGCCACAATGCGCGAAAACGAAATATTACAATTATTGATCAACAACAGTGCAGTTCCAGCATCCTGCAAAAGCATTCCGTTTACACAACTCAAGGAATTAGTGTCTGAATTTGATCCAATCGGAGGTGACACAGACATTCAATTGTTCAAGCAGCTGATTTTTTCGGTACGATCTATGTACAATTTGGACGAAAACAACGTACGTGCACTCATCGCAAACCGTCTCAAAGGCAAAGCCGTAAAATGGTTACAAAGCCGAAACGATTTGATGACAATCCGAATCAACGAATTGCTCAATGAGATGGAAACTGTTTTTCAAAACAGGGAAAGTCTCCTATCACTTAAACGTAAGTTTGAAAAGAAGACCTGGCAACTTAATGAGTCTTTCCAAGAATATTTTTACGAAAAATTAATATTATCAACTAAATTAAACGTCGACAAAATTGAGTTACTCGAGCATATAATTGATGGCATTCCAAACTACAATCTACGTACTCAAGCCCGTATGCAACGTTTTAAAAATACAACGGAACTACTTGATGCTTTCAAAAGCATACAATTGAAACCAGATTATACACACAAGATGGATAACAAGCAGAATATCGAGCCTTCCGCCAACGCAAATAGTCGTCAAATGGTCGTCAAATGCTTCAACTGTAACTCCAAAGGACATATGGCCCCTGAATGTCGCAAGCCCAAAAGAACACCTGGAGCGTGTTTCGTTTGCAACGAAATGGGCCATATTTCAATAAACTGTAGCAAACGCAACGACTTGGAACTACGAGAAAATATGAGAACCAACAACCCGTATGTAAGACTTATAGAGTACTTATTTATTAACAATACTAATGACATCATGAAACACCCTTTAGAAACACTAATTGACACTGGAAGCCCTGTCAGCTTAATATGTGAGGAGAATGTACCCAAGAAACTTATTGAAGACTATTCTTTTGTTCAAAATTATTACGGAATAAATAAAAGTAAACTTATAATCATTGGAGTAATAAAATGTAAAATCAAATTTGAAGATTTAGAATATAATAAAGAACTCTTTGTAGTTCCCAATGAAACAATGCAATATTCAGCTATATTGGGAACTGATTTTCTAGAAAAAGAAGGATTTGTATTAGTAAAAGAAGACCAAATATTTAGAAGGGTAAGCATAGGAAATCAATCTAAATATGAAAAAAATGATAATTCAACGGAAGTAGCCGAAACGATAGAGCACAAAATAAATCAAAACAAAGCGAATAAATATATCGGTTTTTATGATAAACAAACAGAAAGGGCTATAGAAAAATGTGTAACAGAAGAAATACGATCTGCTCAAGAAAAGCTCACAGCAATAGAAGAATGTAATAATTTAATGGCTATTGATATAAATAGCGATGAAAATTACCCATTGATTAACAACACTAACATACATATAAACGACAAGACAAAATTACAACAAATATTTGTTCAACATTATTTAAAAAGTATCCGTCCTGAAAATCCAGCTACCAAATGTCAGTTAAAATTAAATCTAAACAATGTAAAGCCTTTTCACTTCAAACCTAGACGCTTATCATACAAAGAAAAAGAACAAGTGCAACAAATTATAGACGAGCTATTAGAAGAGAAAATTATAAGGCCAAGTCATTCTGAATATGCGTCACTGGTTGTACTAGTAAAAAAAAGAGTGGAGACATTCGGTTATGTGTAGATTATAGGACGCTTAACAAAGTTACACCCAAAGATAATTACCCACTGCCACTAATCGAGGATCTTATTGATAAACTAGCAAACAAAGAAATTTTTACATTGTTAGACTTAAAGAGCGCATTCCACCAGATAGATGTTCATGAAGATTCAGTTAAGTACACATCCTTCGTGACTCCGTTAGGCCAGTTTGAATACTCCAAAATGCCCTATGGCCTAAGAAATGCGTCAGCAAAATTCCAGCGATTTGTCAACTATGTATTCGATGATATGATTAGACTCGGAAAAGTTGTCATATACTTAGATGACATCATGATTGCGTCGAAATCAGTTGAAGAACATCTTAGTACGCTAACGGAAGTATTTAAAAAATTAACATTAAATAAATTAGAGTTGAGACTAGACAAATGTAAATTTATGGAAGATAAATGCGAATGTTTAGGCTATATAATCTCGAAAGAAGGAGTACAGCCAGATAAGAAAAATATTGAAGCCATAACTAATTTTCTAATTCCTAAAAACTCCAAAGAAATCCATAGCTTCCTAGGGCTCTGTTCCTATTTTAGAAAATTTATCAAAGAATTCTCTATACAGGCCAAACCACTGTATAACCTTATTAAAAAGAATTCGAAATTTCAATTCAATGAAGAAGAAATGCAGTGTTTTGAAAAATTAAGCAAAAATTAATCGACGCACCAATACTCTCTATATATGATCCTTCACATGAAACTGAGCTACATTGCGACGCCAGTTCAATCGGATTTGGGGCAATATTATTGCAAAAAAAAACATGATGGCAAAATGCATCCAATATTTTATTTTACGAAGATTTAAGATTTATCTGCATGGAACAAAATTCAAAATAATAACAGATTGTAACTCATTATCGTTAACCTTAAGCAAAAAGGAAATTAATCAAAGAATTGCTCGTTGGACCTTGGAGCTCGAAAACTATGACTACGAAATTGTCCATAGAGATGGACAGAAAATGAAGCACGATGATGCACTAAGTAGAATATCCAATATACTTGTATTGTATTGGAAGATAATACGTTTGAACAAAATCTTTCCATTTGTCAAAACGAGGACACGGTTATATGCAACATACGCAAACAATTAGAAGAAAAAGAAAGCAATCTGTATGAAATGAGAAACGGACCAATTTACCGCAAATTCAAAGGCAAGATACTATTTTATGTACCTAATAATATGGAACGAAACATTTTAACACTTTATCATGACCAAATGGGACACAGAGGGTGTGAAAAAGTATACAATGCAATAACAAAGTCGTACTGGTTTCCCAGGTTAACTGAAAAAATCAAAGAACACATACGAAATTGTCTAAAATGCATAACATATTCACCGAAACTTGGTAAACGTGAAGGTTTACTATGCAGCATTCCTAAAGGTGATACACCATTTGAAATGCTGCATATTGATCATTTTGGGCCCATAAAATCACAAAAAGGACAAAAGAGACATGTACTACTAGCAGTGGATGCCTTTTCGAAGATTGTTAAACTGTATGAAACAAAATCTACGGACTCTAAAAGTACAATTAAACATTTATCCGATTATTTCAAAGCATATATCAGACCCAAGACTATAGTTTCTGACCGTGGAAGTGCATTCACTTCAAAGGATTTCGAAGAATTTTTATTGGCTAACAACGTAAAACACATAAAAGTAGCAGCAGGTTCTCCACAATCGAATGGACAAGTGGAACGTATAAATAGATGTTTAGGACCAATGTTGGCTAAATTAACAAGTGCAGGAACCACAAAATCATTAGATAATATACTTCCAGAAATAGAGTTTGCCTTAAACAACACTTTGCACAAAAGCACGGGAACCACCCCAAGTGAGTTATTATTCGGAGTAAGTCAAAGAGGAATTATCATAGACTTCTTAAAAGAACAGCTAGACGACAGAAAACATGATAGAAATCTTATTGAAAGTAGGTCCAAGGCTAGAGAAATTAGGGAAAAAAGTCAAAAGTACAATGAACTATATAAAAACAAACGTAGAATCCATAAAACATATAGAAAAGGAGACTACGTAGCTTTAAAAATTTTTGTGAGCATACCCGGAGCATGCAAAAAAATAATACCAAAATATAAAGGACCGTACAAAGTTAATGACATACTACCAAATAACAGATATGTTGTATCAGATGTCGAAGGATTTCAATTATCACAGGTGCCTTACAAAGGAATCTGGGAAGCAGCCAATATAAAACCATGGATGAATATGGAAAATCATACGTCAGAAAAAGTAAATGAAAAGTGAGATTCAGAGGAAGGAATTGAAAGTTATAAGCCAGAAAAAGTAAGTGAAAAGCCAGATTCAGAGGAAGAAACAGAATATTGTATGTTATATAAAGCGAGTGAAAGATTAGACTTAAAGGAAGAAAAAGAAAAGACAATGTCAAGTAAGGGAAGAATAAAATCAGGAAATAGGAATACTAAACCAATATTAGAAAAGAAAGATAATGTAGCGCAAAATGTAGTAAAAGAAGTCGAAAATGGTGAACCAACAAAATCAATCAAAGGATCAATAGTAGATATAGGAAATCCTAAACCTGAGTTAGAATATGAATCTTACAATTCAGATGAAGAAAGTGAAAAGGCTAGTTTAAAAAACAGGTGCAAAAAATCTAAAAAAATACGAGACGCTAACAAAGCAGCAAACTCAGAAATATTGCTTAAGAAATCGACCTACGAAAAAAATATTAAATTCATTTAAACACATGTATACACATAAAGTTAAATAAACGACAGGGTGTGTGATATCATTATCTATTGAAAAGAACAAGCTGGCAACTAAAAATGATAAAGAAGGGGGGTTGAGTTTGGAAAGCAGAAGCGTACGCATGTAAAGAAGGAGAGCTGCTTACAAAAAAAAAAAACGGAAATTAATTAATAAACTTAAATAAAGTATAAGATATGAAAAATCATAAAACCTAGAACCATAAGGGCAAAGCTTTTTATTCACTCTTACAATAATAAGAAGTGGTGCAGAATCAAATAAACAATCGCCCACTCAACGCTAAAACGCATTTATAAAAAGAATAGAAAGAAAATGATGAGTGACAAGGATTTTGACAAATACACCGCCGACGGCCTAAGACGGTTGTTAAAAACATATAACTGTCCAACGAATGGAAATAAATCTTAATTAATTCAGAGACTGATCGATGCCCAAAACGATGACGAAATATTGCGAAGTAAGCACAGTACTGGAGTCAACGTCAGCAAGGCAAACGCGAAGGAAGAAGTAAAAAAGCAAGAAAACGTAACCGACAATAATGTAGTACAGCAAGCCGACGAAAGTCCCGACTACGACACAAAGCAAGATAATGAAACAAACAATGACAACATGTTTAGCGAACAAATTCTGAGTAATTACCATAGCCAAACACCGTTAAGCAAATACAATGATATGAGTGACATCGTCATAGTAAACGAAAAAGACACAAACGAAAATGATCAAAGCAACGATAGTAAGGCTAGGGATGGCAAAGAAAATAAGTTTTCCAACACAGAAACACCGAAACGAGATAATACGGAAACTACAACAAGCAACAACAAAAATAACATTGGAAAAGCGAAATCTGAAAAAGAGGATTTAATGCTAAGGGAGATAGAGGTATTGAAACGAGAACTACAAGCCACAATGCGCGAAAACGAAATATTACAATTATTGATCAACAACAGTGAAGTTCCAACATCCTGCAAAAGCATTCCGTTTACACAACTCAAGGAATTAGTGTCTGAATTTGATCCAATGGGAGGTGACACAGACATTCAATCAATTCACTACAATCTAAGTACTCAAGCCCGTATGCAACGTTTTAAAAATACAACGGAACTACTTGATGCTTTCAAAAGCATACAATTGAAACCAGATTATACACACAAGATGGATAACAAGCAGAATATCGAGCCTTCCGCCAACGCAAATAGTCGTCAAATGGTCGTCAAATGCTTCAACTGTAACTCCAAAGGACATATGGCCCCTGAATGTCGCAAGCCCAAAAGAACACCTGGAGCGTGTTTCGTTTGCAACGAAATGGGCCATATTTCAATAAACTGTAGCAAACGCAACGACTTGGAACTACGAGAAAATATGAGAACCAACAACCAGTATGTAAGACTTATAGAGTACTTATTTATTAACAATACTAATGACATCATGAAACACCCTTTAGAAACACTAATTGACACTGGAAGCCCTGTCAGTTTAATATGTGAGGAGAATGGACCCAAGAAACTTATTGAAGACTATTCTTTTATTCAAAATTATTACGGAATAAATAAAAGTAAACTTATAATCATTGGAGTAATAAAATGTAAAATCAAATTTGAAGATTTAGAATATAATATAGAACTCTTTGTAGTTCCCAATGAAACAATTCAATATTCAGCTATATTGGGAACTGATTTTCTAGAAAAAGAAGGATTTGTGTTGGAGCACCCTACTTAGCTTCTAAGCCTTTTCTTTGTGCTCTCTATCGCGCCCTTTACTGCGCTCTCTACTGCGCTCTCTTTGTGCATTACTTTTCTTATGCCGGCCCGCTGACTTGTAGCGGCAGCAGGCAAATCACTTGCTAAGTAATTCTCGCACGTTGAACCTCGTTGTACAATTATCCAAGCCATTAAAGCAATATTAATAATCGAAAGAATACCGCGTCTCATTTAATAAATAGTTAAATCTTGTTGTGCAATCGCTAAAAAGCTAGCGATTTTTCATTGGCGCCCGAGCAGGGACATCGGTTTTCATAAGATTATTTTCTCGTTTGTTTGCGGTCTTTGTGGCTTGGTTTTTGTGCGCGGTCGTGTGAAAACTTTTCGTTTGTTTGAGGCTGGTGTCGATTGGATACTATATACATACATTTATTTGGATTTGGAGCGTGGTGCCTTTCTGGATATCATCAACTACAACTGCTCGTTTGGATTGTGGAGCTGCTGTCTGCCCTACTTGTGGTACTTTCGTTTGGCTTGGCTAATGAGTGATCGTCGCTCGGAATCCAGGGAAGTTTCGGTGGACTCTTTTGAGAGCTTGCAGGTATTCTGTGCCAACAATTGAGCATAAAGCATTAATAAGTTTAATTGCTGCAAATTCGTGCAAGTGTAAAGTGGATAAAAATCGCTTTACATACATACATACGTATGTACATATAGTACGTGTGTGCTTATGCCGACTCAATTTTTGGCACTTGATTTATTTTGTGCAACAACATTACATGCACAAATACATAATCATACATACATATGCATGTACATACATACTCGCCAATAACCACATATACGTATAACCATACATACGTCATACCTTGCACAATTTAACACATTATACACCCTCATAAACATAATTATTAACAAAACCTCTAGGCAAAACAAACAACAGTAATTAAAAAAGGGCTATTAAGCTGATTTTTAACATAAAAAACAAATATTTTGAAGTTATTTTGGTTCTATTGTGTTGGTTTTTTTGGTAAAGATTTGTTGCATCAGCTGCATACATAGAAACATAGCTTTTGTTGTTGCTTGCGCCGCTAGCGTAGCAAAAGAATTTTGTCGCTCTCTCTTTGTGCGCGCCCTTTTTCGGCTACACTTGTCGCTGGGCCAACGAACTTCCCCCCACTACCCGTTCGGATTAGCGTTGCCTACAAGCGTGCTTGCGCCTATTTTCTGAGTACAGCTGAGACTGCTTGCAGATTTCGTTGTTGTTTGTGCGGTCGCTTGGACTGCTACTTTGCTTGCGTGCATACTGTATTGAGTGCGTGTGTACGTAATCTGCGTGCATTTCAGTTTGTCCCTTGCTGTTTTAGCGCGTTGTTATTTGCGAGGGCTGTTAGGAAAGTTCGGCTTTCATTTTCTTTGATTTGCAACTTGATTAGAGTTTATTTTGGTTATACTCTACCATGTCGGAATCTGAAAAGCAACAAGTAGTAGCTAAATCTAGTTCTAAGTACTAGTACAATGCTTGCAGAAATTTGATAAGGTTAGCGCTGACATTGCTCGTATGAGAACAGCATTTCAGTTAAAGACAATTTCGTTTGAACAAACAGAACTCGAGTGCCATCTCGAGCTGTTGGAAGGTTACATAGAGAAAGCAATGGCGCTTCAGGCAGATTTGGATAGTCTCAATCAAAGTAACGATAGTAGAGGGCCACTTGAGGATTTGTGCATTTCAACTAAGGCGTTGTATGTGAAGGCAACGAAACAAAAAGTTGAAAGTCAGACTTCTCATGACTGTTCTATGATGGCCAGTCAACGGTCCCAGTTACCCAAAATGCGGCTGCCTACATTCAGTGGAAAGCATGCCGAATTTAAGAATTTTATGTACTTATTTGAAAGCCTAGTTCATGACGATCCTTCGTTGACCAACGTCGAGAAGTTTAATCATTTGGTGTCGTGCTTGTCAGGTGAGGCTCTAGGAGTTGTGAAACCGTTTCAGTTAACGGACTGCAATTACTCGAAAGCCATTGCTAGCCTCAAGTCTGTGTACGACAACAAATGTTTGATATTCTTCGACACTATCTCGCAATTGTTTGACATCTCAAGTATGACCAAACCTAATGCGTCTAGTTTGCGGTCCATCATTGACACTGTTTCTGCCATTTATGCGTCTTTAGCTTCGTTGGGAAGTGAAAACGACATTTCGAATGCAATGATCATACATATGGTTATGGCCAAAGTTGATCATGTAACCAAATCTCGTTTTGAGGAACAGCTCGACTATGACAAGTTGCCTTCTTGGGATGACTGCGCTAAGCAGTTAAACAGGCGTTACCAATATTTAGCGGCTGAAGAGACAACTCGGGTTCCAAATAAACCGCGAGTAGAACCTGCAAGAAATAGTAAAGCTTCGTTTTCTTGCACAAAGGGTCCTTCAAAGCCTTCAAAACCGATCTCGAAGTGCACATACTGTAGTTCTGCGGAACACAATATTTATACTTGCACTTCCTTCGGTTCTATATCTGTTATGCAGCGATTTGAGTTCGCCAAGACTCAAAAAATGTGCCTCAATTGCTTGAATGTGGGTCATGTAGTTTCCAGTTGCAAGGCGTCCAAGTGTCGGGTGGGTTCAAAACCACACCATTCGTTGTTGCACAGATACTCTGTAGCTGTGCCAAATTCACCCGCTCCACACGCAGTCGCACCTCCAGAAGCGTACTTAGGTCACGTTTTAAGTGCCGATCAAGTAATTCTTGCCACAGTAAGTAATTCTTACCATCCTGCTCGTGTGTTACTTGATGGCGGCTCACAGTTGAACCTCATGACTGAGAACCTTGCGCAGCGCCTTCGATTAAAGCGTAAAGACACAGCTGTGAGTATTGTAATGGCAGGTGGAACCACTACTGGTAGTTGGCACAAGGTGTGCGCTGACATTCAATCTCGTTTGAATTCTCACATCTTTGGCACTGATTTTTGGGTTCTTAAATCTTGTCAGCCTGGTAACTTTGTACCCACATCGAATTGGAAAATACCCGCAAACCTTGAGTTGGCTGACCCAGAATTCTATAAGCCAGCCAAGGTTGATATTCTCCTAGGCGCTGAACTTTTTTACAAGTTATTATGCGTTGGGCAAATCGAGCTCAATTCCTGTCTTCCATTGTTGCAGAAGACATTGCTGGGATGGGTTGTTGCTGGAAGATATACAGGGCAAATACCTCCTCAACAATTCAGCGTTAACGTTGTCGCTCAAGTTCATGATTGTTCTCTCGACACCTTAGTTCAACGCTTTTGGGAACTCGATCGGAGCCCAAATGAGTCGAAGGCTGTGCGCCAGACAGCTGAACAAAAGGCCTGTGAAGCTCACTTCACCAAATCAGTACAGCGCCTGTCTACAGGACGTTTTCAAGTCGAACTTCCGTTCAAATCCGATCCCGCTGTACTAGGGCTTTCCTTTCAAACTGCTGAAAGACGATTTTTGCAACTTGAGCGCAAACTCGCAAGAGACAAAACTCTCCATGACATATACCATGACTTCATGAGAGAGTATCGTGATCTTGGGCATATGTCTGCTCTTGAATCTCCTCCTCCAGGACACACTACTATATTCCTCATCAGTGTGTCCTGAGACCTGAAAGCACCACAACCAAATTGCGTGTGGTGTTTGACGCTTCTAGTAAAACGTCAACGGCCCTATCATTAAATGACACTTTAATGGTTGGGCCGACTATTCAGAGGGAGCTTTTATTATTTTATTTTTGGTCGAATAAATACGCAATTACTGCCGACATCTCCAAGGTGTACAGGCAAATAAACGTGTCTGAAAAAGACAAAAATTACCAGCTCATTCTTTGGCGAGAAAGCGCCTCTCATGAGCTGTAGTCCTTTAAGTTGAACACTGTCACATACGGGACTGCATCAGCGCCATTTTTAGCTGTGCGCTCGTTGTTTGAATTGGCAAATATTTATGCTCGATGTCACCATGTCGCGTTAAATGTCATTAAAAATTGTTTTTATGTTGACGACATGCTGGCTCCTCATAATGATGTATTTCGTTACCATCTGCATGAGGATAGCTTTACTTGGTTGAAGCCGACAAAGCGGAATATATTATCTCGAGCAACTTGTCTGAGCAACTTGGACCTTTGTGCCCCATCGTCACAGCGGCCAAAACTCTGTGGCAAGAGCTGTGGCGATTTAAGATGTTAGTTGGGCTGCTAAAGCAACAGATTTGGGTGATAAATACTCGTAGGGTGTAACGACGCGTTGCGGCAGAGTAACAACGTTACAAGTGGCGCCCGAGCAGGGACCCCAAAGAAGTGTGAGGTTAGATCCGACCAAGTAGGGAAGAGAGCGTGGACCTACGATGCTACGAACGAGCTGGATACGTGTGCTGCGGAAGGAAGAGCTCAGCACGGTGCTGCGCGAGTTCGACATCGAGGAGACCGGCACCGTGGAGGCTTTGCAGGTGCGGCTGGCAACGTTCGTGAAGTCGGCCCAAGAAGAGTACCGATCCCGCCTGGAAGAACTAGCGGCATATTACGAGAACATGTCGTCGCGTACCGTACGACACCGCTAACTCCTGCGACAGTGCCGACCATTTCGGTAGCGGTCGCAACCTCGCCGGGAGCTACCACAACCGAGCCCACGGCAGCTTCAGCGACGCCAACAGTGGCTCCAGTGCTCTCAACGGCGGACCTGACACAAGCGATTGCCGATTCGGTGACAGTTGCGTTGGCTCAGTACACCCACCGGTTGGCCCAGGCTATGGAGGATGGGTTCCAGAAACTGTCGAGCCAGGTCTGCGCTTCCACCGCGCCTGCTGGTAATGCGCCTGACGAAGATGACCCAACAGCACCGACTCCAGCGTCACCGCTCGCAAGCGCGCAGGCGGTGGTAGAACCACAGGCGCCAACATCAGCCGTGTCAACCGCACCCGCGGCTGGTTCGGCCCACTCGACAATGTCACGAGCGGAGCGGAGAGCCCTGAGCACGGAGGTGGCACAGTGGGGAGTACGTTTCGATGGCAGCGGGGACCCACGGGCATTCTTGCGCAGGCTAGAAGAGAAAGCGGAAGTGAGTGGGGAGCCGGTAGATAATTTGGTGCCGATGTTACCAAACATTCTGGAGGGTGCGGCACTGACGTGGGACCGCACAAGGCGAAGCCCGACCCAGTCGTGGGCAGAGTTCCGCGCGGAACTGCTAGAAGCGTACTCGGCCGCTCCTCACATTGAGCGGTGGCGACAGAATGCGCAACGACGCTTTCAGGGCGAGTCGGAGTCCACTGCGACCTACGTCCAAGCGATGCTGGAATTGATGCTCGATGCAGACATGCTCGGAGAGGAGCAGCTGAGGCTCATCTACCGCAACAGCCGTCCAGCGATCAACATCAGGATACGGCATCAGGATGTCCATACTGTGGCCGAATTCAAACGGCAAGCAGCAGAGCTGGAGGAGTTGGGCCTGGTTCCGGCCTGTACCATTGGGGCAGGGCCATCCCAGCCACCGTTCATGGGCCCACGGGGGTTTCCGATCCGACGTCCGGAGCCAACGGATATGCAGCCCATATCTAGTGGTGAGTTAAACAGGCGAAACTTTGTCCCTTTACAGACTACACCCGCGCGAGCAACCGGGCCCGAGATGCAGAGCTCGTGGGTACACCAGGGGCGGTCTTGCAAACGCTGTGGTATGGCGGGGCACGACAACGAATGCTGCCCAAACCAACAACAACTATACTGCTGGGATTCCGGTAGGCTGGGCGTACGAGCGAACGAATGCTGTCGCCGCAGAGCGGGAAACGCCAGGGGGGCTCGCCACATACAGCCAATAGGCGAGCCCACGCAGGAAAACTAGTGGCAGAACGCTCGCGAGTGATGGTGTTGAGGGTGGATTGCGGTGGTCTTGCCCTCGACGCGGTGGTGGATACGGGAGCCACTCGCAGCTTCGTGAGCCCGGCGCTGGCACGACGCTTGAGAAAGCCAGGTGGGGAGAATGTACGGAGTGTAGAGGTGTCGATGTCGATGGCCAACGGCTCGCGACAAACTGTTTGCGAGGAGACGATGACGGCGATAACAGCGGACGACAAATGCATCTCGATACCACTGTTAACACTGCCGGGCTGCGAGGACGAGCTCTCACTAGGGCTGGATTTCATCAGGAAGGCCTATGGTACGCTCACCGCCGGCAGCCACAAGCTGGAGATGCGAGATGTGCGTGAGCGACGATGGCGGAGAAGGCGTCAGGCGCGCCGCAGAGTACGATGTGCGGCATTGATGACCACAGAGCCAATTGCTCCATCGGCGGCTACGCTGACAGATGAACAGACTGCTCAGGCTGCCACGTTCCTTCAGGAGGAATTACCACGCTTTGAGAACATTGTGGGCGTATCGTCGGTGGCGACACACACGATCCGCGTGAAAGACGACAGGCCCATTAAACAGCGCTACTATCCGAGGAATCCGGCGATGCAAGCGGTAATTGACAACGAGGTTGACGAGTTGCTGGCGAAGGGCCAGCGGTCCGATAGCGCGGTCCGATAGCGCGTACAGCGCGCCCATAGTCCTGGTACGCAAGAAGAATGGGGCGTGGCGAATGTGCATCGACTACCGCCAGCTGAACGAGCGCTCGGAGACAGACGCATACCCCATTCCGAGGATCCAACATATTCTCGAACAGAACGACAGGCTGTACCGCCGCATCGCTCACGTGCTAGGAGAAGATGAGGTGTCACCATGGAGGCTATGCGTGGCCGCGCCTCTACGACAGGAGGTGTTGAGAGAATGCCACGACGACGCAACGGCGGGCCATATGGGAGTACGCCGAACCTGTGCACGGGTTGCAGACCGATACCACTGGCCTGGTCTGTATCGCGACGTAGCGAAGTATGTGCACCAGTGTCTGTTGTGCCAACGCTATAAAGCCCAGCAACAGCTGACGGCAGGCAAGATGCACTTCAAACCAGCGGAGGCAGCGTGGGACGTCGTCTGCGCCGATTTTGTGGGGGCAACGCGTATCTACTGGTCCTGGTCGATAAGTTCAGTAAATGGGCAGAACTGGTCCCCATCCGCAAGGCGACGGCAGCGGTAGTGAAGCTGGCCTTGCGAGAGCGGATTCTGGCACGGTTTGGCACACCAAGAAAACTCATTACAGACAATGGAGCCCAGTTTCCGAGCCACGCGCTGAAGCAGTTCCTCGCCGAGGCAGGCATACGGCAACAACTGACGGCACCATACACACCTCAGGAGAATCCCACTGAGCGGACCAATAGAACGGTCAAAACATTGATTGCTCAGCTGGCGGACAGGCAGCACAACACGTGGGACGAACAACTGCCGGAAGCACAATTGGCCATTAATACAGCAATTTCAGACGCAACGGGCTACTCACCGGCTTTCATCCTATTTGGGAGAGAACCACGGCATCCACGCACACTGTACAGCAGGGATCCTGATGCCCCTGAGGCAGCACCAGGTAGCCCAGAAACACACGCAACGCTGCTACAGTTTGTTACCCGCATAGCAAGAAGAAACCAAGGGGTGGCCAGCGAGGATCAGGCACGCCAGTACAATCTGCGGAGACGCGAGTGGCGACCCAAACTGGGCGACGAGGTGCTCGTGCGACAACATTACCTGTCCAACGCAGCCGAGCAGTTTGCGGCCAAGCTGGCGCCTCGCTTCGATGGACCATTCACAGTGCGAGCATTCATATCCCCAGTTATAGTGCGTGTGCGACCAGTAGCGGGCGGCAGAGGTAGAACGGCACATGTGCGGGATCTAAAAGCGGTGAATGCAGAAGACAGCAAAGCCGACGAAGGCAGCGACGACAGAGGCAGCGTTAGTATGGTCACCAGGGCCACGCCACCGACAGCTTCACAGCAGCCACAGCAGCCCACTCCTCAGCGTCAACAAAAGCAGCCACAGCGGCAGTCCGGGCAACAAAATCGGCCATATCAACGAGCACGACGACAGCAGCCACGGTCACGACAGCCACGACAGCAGCAACAGCAACCAGGGCTTCGTAGCAGCCACACCGACAACAGCAACGGCAACACCACCGGCGTCCACCAAAGCGGGAACAGCAAAGCTGCTGTTCTAGCCGAAGAAGATGCCCATGTAAGCCTACAAACATAATTAAACGCAGTTTGTTGTTACGTTTCAGGCCATGTGAAGCGATGTAGATTACCGCACCGCCTGAGATACACACTCAGCGCCGAATATACCAGAGACGCAGCAGATGGGCGGTATGCTAATTCCATTGGCGATCCCTAAACAGCTACGGCAACAGCAGCCAGTCCCACAGCAGCCACTACAGCACCCATTACAGAATCCAGAGGATGACGACACGTCAGCACCACGCGGCGGAAATGCAGAATACAACAATGCGACCGAATGACAGAGCGAACAGCTGACGGTGAAGGTACAGGTGGCGTTGACAGGTGGCCAAGCGCGAGGGGTGGCAGCGCTACCACCCAGCTGCTACACATCTGCCGTTCGATTATGGCGCGGTGAAGGAAAATTCGAAAACACCACCGATCGGGCCGTTCGACCCCTTGGGGAAAGGGGGGGGGGGGTGTAACGACGCGTTGCGCAGCAACCAGCTGTGCGTCATTACGATGCCAAGTAGTTGTAAATTAATAAGTAATTGTAAGAATAGTAAGCCATGAAGGCGAGTAATTTTAAGTTCGGTTTAGGTTAGTTCACTTCTGGTTCTTGGCTCATGCCCAACACGCACTGAAGCGCTCGGTATCATTTTTGTTATATTAAAGAAACACGTGGAGAAGTTTTGGCACACCGCCCTCTTTTATTTGTTGGACACCTCGGCACTTTGGGGTGCCTAATTTATTTCAGCATACTCTGGCCGGCGAGCATACCCGCGGCAGAGTAACAACGTTACAAGGGTTTGCTCAGCAGTTTCACATAACTGCCTTCGATGCAAGCCCAAGTTAGTTGAGCAAATAATGAGAAATTTGCCAGGTGAACGCCTCCGAGAAGGTCGACCTTTCAGGGTTTGTGGACTCGATCTTTGCGGCCCATTCCATGGTAGCTATCGCATACGCGGAAGACCGCCCGTTACAAATTACGTAGCGGTATTCGTTTGTTTTGCCTCGAAGGCCGTTCACCTCGAACTGGTAGCTAATTTATCCACTGATACTGTCCTTAACGTCTTTACAAGGTTCATCGGGAAGCGCGGCCTGCCGGAAATGGTCTTCAACGACAACGTGACGAGCTTCGCGGGAACAAGCGGCTTGCTGAGGGACATGCCGCCGGCTTTCGAGCGGAGAAAGGACGCCCTGACGGACTATGCGGCAGAGCGACGAATCGATTGGTGGTTCATTCTTCCCCGACATCTTCACATAGGAGGATTGTTGGAGGCAGTGGTGCTGCTAGGCGACCAGTCCACGATGTTGGCGGTGCTCCGTGTAGATTTGAAAGACCGGGAGTCCTTCAAAGGGGCCGGAATGTTGGAGCACCCTACTTAGCTTCTAAGCCTTTTCTTTGCGCTCTCTATCGCGCCCTTTACTGCGCTCTCTACTGCGCTCTCTTTGTGCATTACTTTTCTTATGTCGGCCCGCTGACTTGTAGCGGCAGCAGGCAAATCACTTGCTAAGTAATTCTCGCACGTTGAACCTCGTTGTACAATTATCCAAGCCATTAAAGCAATATTAATAATCGAAAGAATACCGCGTTTCATTTAATAAATAGTTAAATATTGTTGTGCAATCGCTAAAAAGCTAGCGATTTTTCAATTTGTATTAGTAAAAGAAGACCAAATATTTAGAAGGGTAAGCATAGGAAATCAAACTAAATATGATAAAAATGATAATTCAACAGAAGTAGCCGAAACGATAGAGCACAAAATAAATCAAAACAAAGCGAATAAATATATGGTTTTTATGATAAACAAACAGAAAGGGCTATAGAAAAATGTGTAACAGAAGAAATACGATCTGCTCAAGAAAAGCTCACAGCAATAGAAGAATGTAATAGTTTAATGGCTATTGATATAAATAGCGATGAAAATTACCCATTGATTAACAACACTAACATACATATAAACAACAAGACAAAATTACAACAAATATTTGTTCAACATTATTTAAAAAGTATCCGTCCTGAAAATCCAGCTACCAAATGTCAGTTAAAATTAAATCTAAACAATGTAAAGCCTTTTCACTTCAAACCTAGACGCTTATCATACAAAGAAAAAGAACAAGTGCAACAAATTATAGACGAGCTATTAGAAAAGAAAATTATAAGACCAAGTCATTCTGAATATGCGTCACCGGTTGTACTAGTAAAAAAAAGAGTGGAGACATTCGGTTATGTGTAGATTATAGGACGCTTAACAAAGTTACACCCAAAGATAATTACCCACTGCCACTAATCGAGGATCTTATTGATAAACTAGCAAACAAAGAAATTTTTACATTGTTAGACTTAAAGAGCGCATTCCACCAGATAGATGTTCATGAAGATTCAGTTAAGTACACATCCTTCGTGACTCCGTTAGGCCAGTTTGAATACTCCAAAATGCCCTATGGCCTAAGAAATGCGTCAGCAACATTCCAGCGATTTGTCAACTATGTATTCGATGATGACATCATGATTGACATCATGATTGCGTCGAAATCAGTTGAAGAACATCTTAGTACGCTAACGGAAGTATTTAAAAAATTAACATTAAATAAATTAGAGTTGAGACTAGACAAATGTAAATTTATGGAATATAAATGCTATATAATCTCGAAAGAAGG